CTGCTTTTCCCCACAGCCACATGCATCAGGGGCTCTTTGGACCCCACACACCACCAGCCAGCCCACGGCTGCCTCCTCACCTGGACTGAGGGCCATATGTGTGAGAGACACACCTGACCTAAGAGCAGAGGATTGGGCACCCCACGTGGTCCCCTGAGCATCAGCAGGGGTGATTCCAAAACCAAAAAAAAAAAAAAAAAAAAAAAAAAACAGAGACCTGGGCATTGAAGAGAATGAAAATAAAGAGCATGAGTGTGCTTGGCTGGAGTTTCCGCGTGTGATGTCTGAGCACAGAGCCTGGACTAAGCCTTGAGAGCCTCAGGGTATAGTCCAGAGTGGGGGGGGGGGGGGGAGAGAGAGAAAAAAAACACCAAACACCCAGCAGCCTGGGCCCAGAGAGAAAGAACAGCAGAGAGAGGACAGAGGCATGAAGAGTGCTTGAAGCTCACCAGCCAATATCTTCATCTTTGCTGCCCTTGCAAACTGAGCTTAGATGCTATCCTGAAGGGGGAGGAGCCAGCTGCCCAGTTCCTCTGAGGGCAATGGGACAGGGGCCACAGGTGAGGGAGAGGCCAAATGCCACAGAGGCTGGCCGGGATGGTGGTGGTGCCAACACAGCCCTTCAGTTCTAGGGGCCAGCCTCCTTCTGTCCATCATGTCTCTCTCCTGTCCACTGACTCTCTCCTCTTCACTGCACTGGAAAGAGGAATCGCTTCTTTTCACTGCAGTGGACGGAGGAATCTATCTATTTGCATTCACACTAAAGGTCTTTCTTGGAATTGAAAAGTATTAAAGAGAAAGCGGGCAAATTACAAGGGAAGCCACTTTGAAATGCATCTTGGGATATAATCTGTTAAAATCAGAGAGAGAAATATGCAAAAAGAGCCCCTGGTTTCACATTAAACTCTTGATGGCTGGCATCTGGGAAAGGAGCAAAGTTCACAGAACTATGGCTGACCAGGGTGGGGCTTTGAGTCACGAGGCATGAACTAAAACTCGATTCACCATATCAGATATTCTCACATGCCACCAAATGGCATGTGGCAAAGTGAACGGATAAACTGGGGTAAGAAAAATAATGGGCTGGAGCAATAGCACAGCGGGTAGGGCGTTTGTCTTTCTCTACCCCTCCCAGAGAGCCCGACAAGCTACTGAGAGTCTCTCTCCCACATGGCAAAGCCTGGCAAGCTACCCATGACGTCTTTGATATGCCAAACACAGTAACAACAAGTCTCTCAATGGAGATGTTACTGGGCCCGCTCGAGCAAATCGATGAACAACGGGAGGACAGTGCTACAGTACTAAGAAAAATGATGTCTCCTCATTCTCTGTGCCTCAAAGAAAGACCCAGAGAGGTGAAGTAATTTGCCAATTATCACACAGAAGCTAACAGCTGCAGAATTTAAGCTCTAAGCCAATCCAGTAACTGGACCCTCATTTTCTCAGAGCAGGTGTAAATATGAAAAGCAACAGTTGTATTTCCAAAATATTTTAAGTACCTGACATAAACTTTGTTTGTTGTGGGGGCCACACCCACCAGCACCCAGGGCTTACTCCTGGCTCTGTGCTCAGGACTGACCCTTAGCAGTGCCCAGTGGTCACACATGCAGCCAGGGGTCCTACTGGAGCTCGCTGCGTTACAATGCACACTCCTTAGCCCTGCTACTCCTGGAATATTGCTCCGACCCCTGTAAACCTTAAAGCTTGAGATCAGCTACTTAATGTCTTCATCAGATCCCTCCCAATATTCTAAAGGAACGTTTGCTGGGAACAGATGGAGAAGAGGATAAGGGCACCTTCCTCAGGTCAGCCTGAGAAGGAAGGCTGGAACTTTCTCCAGGAAAGTGAATCCCCCAGGACAGAAACAAGGTTAGATGTTGGGGGGGGGGGGGGGAATCCTTTGTAAGTAACAGCTCTTGTTATCAATAAGAATAACAGCCCGGGGGCGGGGGAGGGGGGGTGGAGCAACAGCACAGCAGGTAGGGCATTTGCCTCAATTTGGGTTTGATTCCCTGAGCACCGCCAGGGGTAATTCCTGAGTGCAGAGCCAGGAGTAATCCCGGTGCATTGCCAGGTGTGACCCAGAAAGAAAAACAAACAAACAAAAAAAGAATTACAGCCCAGTGGTGGGGGAGGGGGGTAGACCAAGGGGGACTCAATGCAGAGGTTTGCTTCACCGGCTGCCCTGGTCTCAAGGGAGAAGGGTGCCCTGCCCCATGGTTCAGAGAGAGGAGTACAAGGCTTCAAGTTCTCAGACACTCTGCTGGTGTCAGGGTGGCATGGTGGGAAAGAACAATGCCATTAAGGGACTTCAGAGTTCCTCCCTGTGCTGATGGCAGGACTTGGCAGCCTCAGCTGGGGATTCTTTGAGTGAGGAATGAACCAAGCTCCCCCCTCCCCCCACACACACACACACAAACACACACACACAGAGAAGCAGTAATGTGGGTTCTAGTTACACACTCAGCCTGGAAAGATACCAGAGTATCTGCAAGGACTTAAATAAACCCCAAATCCGGAGGCTGGGAACCGCCCGGGCCATTTGCAAGACCAGAATGGAAAACCCTGGAAAAGTACGTCACAACCCTGGTCAAATAATGTCCAGTTCAGAGGACTTTTCAGCACAGAGCTATGCAAGTCCTTTCCGTGAAACACTGGGTCGTTTGTAGAAAACATCCAGCGAGAGTGGGCTTGGCATCTGGCCCCCTCGCTGACCTGGCAGCTGCTCGGGCCTGGAGCTCTGGGATGCAGGAGCCCAGCCACAGAGACCTCCACCAGAATTTGCAAACCAGAAGGAAGCTGTTTGTGTATCCAGAGGAGGGGCTAAGCTGCAGATAAGCTGCACTTCTCACAAAACCAGTAAACACTGCTATCAGTGGTAACCTTAGACACAGAAATTAGGCCTATTTTCTTCTCTGGGCCCTGGAACCCAAGAGATAAGGGGCTGTTTCAGGTTTGGGATGGTCAGGAAAAAAAGAGACGGGAAGCACCCTCACTTAGAGACACTGTTGGTGCGCTCCATCCTGACTATACTTAAAAACAGAGATCAGGGACCGAGAGAGGGAACATAGGGAGGGCATGGGGTTCGAGGCACCTGCCTGGCATGCCGCAGGCCCAGGTCTGATCCTGGACACATGGTGTATGTTCCCCTGAACCCCGAGAGAAATGAGCACAGAGCCAGGAGGTGGTCCAAGCACTGCTGGGTGGAGTTCCCGGCCCCCCCCCCCACCCCGCCAAAGAAACAAAAAATCAGATCAGATGCTCATGTGAATCAGGTGCCATGGGTGCTCACAACACCCAGTCACCACCCTCATGTGACACGGAACACAGCCCCCATGGGTCGGGGCAGGGCTGCTGCCAAATTCCCCAAAGGCCTATCCACCCAGTGAGATGTCCTGCTCCCCATCCCTCAGGCCCTCAGAGGCCAGTTTCCAGGGCTTCAAGTGAGCGGTTGAAAGATTCCCAAACCTCTATTAACATGCAAATACACCCTGGGAACTGCAACCGGCCAAGACTTATCACTTCTCACTTTCTCGCAGGGACAGCAACTCCTGGAGTTTTGACTGGGACTTCTGCAGGTCGGTGGGTAGGCGGGAAGGTTGGACTCTTCCCCCCCTCCCCCCCCCCCACCCTCCGGGGAGGCAGCTGGGAAAAGCGCAGGGAGAGCCCCCCACCCCCGCCACCCCCCACCCCCCACGGCAGCAGCCTTCGCATTCCAGTGCGCCTTGCAGCTCCTCGTGGCTGTGTTTAGTCCCGTGTGCCTTAGCCAGCACCAAATTCCCAGTGGTGATGCAGTTCCAAACCAGCTAGGCGGAAACCATGCAGGGAGACGAGATAAGATCCTCTGGTGTCAGGGTTCCTCCGGTCATCCTGCTGTACTGTCCAACTACCAACAGGCACGGACAACGGAAAGCCAACACACCCGTCATGCCTGCTGGACGCTGTCTCTGAGAAATGTCATTGAGGACCAGAGAGAAAATACCTTGTGTGCAGTTGAAACGGGTTCAATCCCCGCCCGGTATCACATAGGGTCCCACGAGCCCGGCCATGGGTGATCCCTGAGCAGAGCCAGGAGTAAGGTATGGGCATCAGCGCATTTGTCCCCAAAACCAAAAGGAGGGAGAGAGAGAGAGAGAGAGAGAGAGAGAGAGAGAGAGAGAGAGAGAGAGAGAGAGAGAGAGAGACACAGACACAGACACTGAGAGAGACAGAAATGAGAGATGGGGGAAGGAAGGAAGGAAGGAAGGAAGGAAGGAAGGAAGGAAGGAAGGAAGGAAGGAAGGAAGGAAGGAAGGAAGGAAGGAAGGAGGAAAGGAGGGAAAGAAGGAAGGAGGAAAGGAAGTTTGGAGGAAAGGAAGTTAGGAGGGGAGGGAAAGGGTTTGGAGAGTCAGTACAGAGGTAAGGCGCTTGTCTTACACGGGGCCAGAGCTCAGACCCTGGCACCCGACACGGTCCCCTAAGCACCGCCAGGAGCGCCACCTGAGTGCTTCGGAACTAGTAGCAATCCTTGATCACTGGCCGGGTGTGACCCAAACACCAAAAAACATAAAGAAATAGCTTTGAATCTCACTGGACAAAGTAGCTGGATTCTACCTTAAAGCAAAAACTCATTAAGGACTTTTTTTTTTACAGCGTTCAAACTCAGCACACTAAAATGAAAATAATATGTATACATGGGGGTGGCAACCCCGACATTTCCCTGGGAGCCGGGAGCCGCAGTCTGGCGCCAGCAGCTGCTGGGGCAGCCTGTCCCGGGTCCGGCGTGCGGCGCCGCCAGCAGGGGAGCCCTCGGGCTTTTGTCCCCGGCCCCATTCAAACAAAAGAAGCCCCGCGCCCGCGCCCCTGCCTGCGCCCCTGCCCGCGTCCCTGCCCGCGCCCCGCGCCCCGCGCCCCGCGCCCCTGCCGCGCCCCGCACCTCGCGACCCCGGCTTCCCGCACTCACTGCGCAGCGCCCCCCAAGCCCCCCGCGCCCCGCCCCGCGCCCCGCGCCCCGCACTCACTGCGCAGCGCCCCGATGAGCAGCGAGCCGTCCTTGATGAGCTCCTTGATGAACTTGTTGGTGCGCTCCAGCTCGATCTCGTGGCACTGCAGGCGCTCCCTGAAGTCGGGGCTGTCCAGGTAGGAGTCGCTGAACTCCAGCGTGGGCAGCCCCATGGCCCCTGGCTCGGGGGGACCCCGCGCCGCTCAGGCTCGGGGCGCGCGTCGGCGCATGCCGGCCCCGAGCTGGGGCGTCTCCGCGCCGCGCACCCGCTTCCTGCGCGCCCCGGGCCTGGCCGCGCCCGCCCGTCGGCCGCGGGAGTCCGGCCCCCTCGGCGCGCGCAGGCCCCGCGCTCCCCGCCCCGCCGCGCCCCGCCCCCGGCACGCGCACGGGCCCGCCTGACACTCGGACCGGGCTGCAGCCCGCGCCCCCCGGGGAGGGGAAGGAGTGGGCACGCCGGGTGGGGGCCGGGGGCTGTTCCGGCGAGAGGCGGCCCAGCCTCGGCCGCTAGGGAGTTGGTACCTCTGCTGCCCTCTCGGAGGACACCCCTCCTGGCCCAGCTCCCCCCGGGAACCGGGCTCCCGGAGCACCTGTCTGCATGCACCGATCGGCGGCCCGGACCTCACCTGCCGTACCGGGGTCCTGCACTGCCCCCAGAAGACCTCTCGCCGCCCACCCCGCCCCAGTCCGTAGGACTCCTGAGACCTGGACTCCCTCTCCTTAGGGATCTGCTTCTGACTTCTGTGTTTTCCTTGCCTGTGCCGTGTGGACTACCTATTGAATCCCGTTAAAATGCTGGACATCACCCCGCCACACACACACACACACACACACACACACACACACACACACACACACTGGGTTTCAGGGACCGTTCAGGATTCTTAGTTTTAATTTATTTTTTCTTAAGTGCGGCATGAATGTTATAAACAACAGGAGATCCTGAAACTGAGAGACGCAATGTGACCGGGGAGTTTGATGATCTCTTACATAGTCCTGTGAGCCAGGGGCCTGGGGTTGATGCTGGGCCCTCACGCATTTGCACCGGGCATGCAAACCAGTGGGTGGGACCGCCTGGTGGACACACCTGTCCTTTGTGCTCCAGCGACAGAAGCCAGTCCAGTCTTCCACCTGAAGCAATTTCACATGTACTCGATTCTGCTTGGCAGGAAACACAGTTTACTTTCGGCTTCCGCCAGATGGGATAAAAGACAATCTCTGCCTATTTTTCACTGGATGGGAGTCCCTGTGATTTAGTATTTTGAAATGTACCCTCTGTCCTTGGCTGATAGCCCCTAACAGACTGGCTAGCAATTTCTAATTTGCTCTTTAAAGTCTTCCCCTGAGGCCTTGCAGGCAGACATCCCTTGTTCATCCCCTACACCAAATAGGACCCGTGGGCCTCACCAGAAATGATCATTGAGCACAGAACCAGGAGTCAGCCCTGAGCACTGTCAGGAGTGGTTCGAAACTCCACAGCTCTGGAAGTCTGTGTGCCATGCAGTGTTTTCTGGGGTCTAAGATAGGCTCTTGTTTGCCCACTTCCATGTGTCTCACAAAGCTTAGTCCTACAGGGTCCACGCATTTGGCACGGTTCCAGGGAGCGAGTACCATGTCCCTCATGGCCTGGGTCTCCCTGAGTCTCTGTGTCCTTGTCAGTCTGTCTCTGCTGAGACCCATCCATGTGCTCACCTGGGGTCCTACCCCCCTCTCCTCCCTCACCCCTTTGTCTCTGCAGCTTAGTTGCTGGCCTGGGACATTCTTCCTGTCAGGTGGCTCAGTACCTCCTGGCTGGTGGCTGTGAGTCACACGTTGGTCATACCTGCTCTGCAGCCTCTCCCTCTTGCCAATCACCCCACAATTGAGACACTCCACAAGTGGCTCTGCTTTGAGGTAGATTTACAGCCAGCATCGAACTATTGTTCCCGTGTTGTTTCCCCTCCATGGTTCCCAGGGAGTGGGTTTCTTCCTCAGACAGCAGGTCTTCTGAGGAAGAGCACCCTGGACACATAATGGGCTGAAAGGAAGCCCCTAGGGTCTCCCCCTCCTGACAGGGGACCAATAGCTGCTCGGCCAGTGTTGCAGGTGCTCAGGACACATTCGTACTGGCATAGATAAAGGCCTGGCTCTGCTTCTTCTGCCGAGATGGAATGTGTGGGTCTGTCTGCCTGTGGTGACAGACAAACAGATAGACAGGTCACAGTGGCCTTGGGTGACAGGAAATGAGCAGATGGCACTAAAAAATCTGCTGGTGACTTCCTGGGCTGAATGGGTCCTGGGACTTACATGCCTGAGGCTTTATATGGAATCCAGCAGTGCTATTCTCCTCAACATTTCTTTTCCCTTTTAAAAAATATCTGTATAGGGGCTGGAGTGATAGCACAGCAGGTAGGGCATTTGCCTTGCACGCGGCCGACCCGGGTTCAAGTCCCAGCATCCCATACAGTCCCCTGAGCACCGCCAAGGAGTGATTCCTGAGTGCAGAGCCAGGAGCAACCCCTGTGCATCGCCAGGTGTGACCCAAAAGGTAATATGTATGTGTGTACATATATATATATATTGTATCGAGGAATATCATCAACATATGCCATCACACTTTTCAGTATAAAGTGCATCTGCACATGTTACTGAATGATCACACGAAATCATTCATATCCAACCCCTCAGAGCTATTGTGGTGTTATTTCCCCTCATGACAAAAATGGTGAAGATAACTTAGGAAAGACATTTACCAGCAATTCCATGGTAGTGCTGTGAAACCATAGCCACCATCCATCTTCGGGACTTCCCCAGCTTCCCAAAGTGAAATGGTCCCACTGAAAAGCCACCGTGGGGCTCTGAGCTCCATCCTCTGCACCTGCCACATGGCTTCCCAGGCACCACTGGGAGCAGTATCCTGCTGAATAGGCCAGGCCCTGCCGAGTGTGGTCCAAACATAGAAATCGAATAAGCAAAAATGTGTGCATCAGGGGGTACAACAGATAGAGCTCTTCCCTTGCATGTGGCTCACCCAGGTTCCATCCCCAGCACCCTGTATGGTCCCCCAAGGTTGCCAAAAGTCAGCCCTGAACACTGAGTCAGGAGTCATCCCTGAGCACAGAGCCAGAAGTCAGCCCTAAGCACTGCCACATGTGGCCCAAAATATAAAACAAGAAAGAATTTGTGCTCCGAATCATTCCTGCTGCTTGTGATGCTGGATGGAGCGTGAGGGCACTGCAGGAGGGGGTGCATGAAGCAGCATCCAGGGGCCAGGAGCTGGCCAGCACCACCCTGCACAGTCTGAGGATTGCAGAGTCCACTGAAGGCTGGTCTGCACTGCTTCCTCTCGCCGCTGTCAGGAAACAGAGGCTGTGCGTCATGGGGTCAGAGGGAAGAGTGAGCAGGGGAAGTGTTGGTCCAGAGAGAGCTGCATGGGATGGAGTGCATAGGAGACCTCGGTTTGATGCCCAGGATTGCCTAGTCTCCTGAGCACTGAGCCAGGAGTAACACCTAAGTACCCCTGAGTGTAGCTCCCCTAAAAGTATCTCTCAAAGAATCATAGAGATTATGCAGGGGTTAAGGTACTTGCCCTGCGTGGCAGTAACTAACCCTCATTCAAATCCCTGGCACCATATATGGTTCTTCCTGAGCACAGAGCCAGGAATCGTCCCTGAGTACCACAGGGTACAGTCCCCCACCCCTACCCCACCCCCCACCACACACACGAGAGAGAGAGAGAGAGAGAGAGAGAGAGAGAGACGCTTGTTCCAGAAGAGCAAATTCAGACCACGCGTGTGTGAGAGCTAACTCCAACTGCTTCATACCTGGGGAGTGAACTAGACAGCAAAGTCTGCAGAGGAAAGCACAGCAAGCTGAGAGTGAGGAAGGGCACTTGGACCAGCTGGGAAGACAGGAGGATGGGGTCAAAGCGGTCAGGGAGCAGGTTAAACAAGGAAGGACTCTTGGCTGCCTGAACCAGGCAGGAGCCGGACAGGATCTGAGAGCTGTGTTTACAGAACCCAGAAGTCATCTTTTTATTTGGGGGTGGTGACACTATGGGTTACTCTTGGTGGCGCTTGGGGATCCTATGGGATGCTGGGGATCGAGCCCGGTGGGCCGCATGCAAGGCAAATACTCTCCCTGCTGTATTCCTGCTCCAGCACCCAGAAGTTATATTTTTTCCTGATAAATACAGATAGGCTTAGCAGTCCATGATGAGCTCAGGTGAGTTTAAGTGAGAGATGGGGTCTGTGTTTGGGCAGCAGGAACAGGACGAAGGGGATGAGGACATTCGTGCTCTGGGGTGCTCTGGGGTGTGCGGTTCACGGCATGGAGGGCCATGGATTCAGCAGCAAACGGAAACCTCCCCCAAGGCTCCGAAAGGCCCCCGAGAGTTAGGGTTTCTCTCTGATGTCAGTCTCAGGAGGAACAGGAAGGAAGGGACAGAACTGCAAGCAGGCGGTGTTCCTTGCTGAAAGAGGATGTTTAGATTTGGTTTGGTTTAGCATATAGATTTAGACTTCCACATCGTATCACCCCCCTGTGGCAGACCACGGTGCCGGCTTCTTCTCCAAACGGAGGCCAGCCCTGGAGCATGCGCTGGACACTGGTATGGCCAGGGCTGAGTGGAGAGTGTCCACAGGCTGAGAAGCAGGGACTGTGTAAGGACCATGAGCCCCAGTTTCACCAGATTATGATTTGAATGTTAACTTGAGGTGGGGAGAGAGCTCAAGGGTGCAGCCGAGTTTGACCACCAAGCCCTGCGTTCTGCATCTGAGACCCCCTCTGCCTCCAGCCCTAAAGGAAGGGGTTTGCTCGCCACTGATTACCAAGAGCTAAAACTCCGGGAGCTGGTATTTCAGCCCAGCTAGAGCAGCAGGGCCTGGAAGAGCATGGCTAGGGCCCTGGGGATCTGGTGAACGCTGGTACAGGGCGGCAAACACGGATCTCGCCACCCCCAGGGGAGCTTTAAGCTAGTGAGTTAGGGGTAATCGCCACATGCTCTAGGGGGATCTAGTCACCTTTCAGGCTTTCCAGCACTCTCAGGTATAAAATCAGAAGATGACCTGCCACCCCTATCGTGCCTAGAATTAAAAAAAAAAAAGAAATCAAGCAAACAAACAACACCCTGATGCTTCAAAAAGAAAAAAATATCATCCAAAAAAAAAATAAAGTACATCAGCAGACATGCTGCGTTATACCTGGTAGAGTCATTGGAAACCTTCTCAGAACAAAATGCAAAATGTTATCCTACAACTAACAAGGTTATTTTTGCAGAGGCAGAGTATTTACTTTGTTACAGTTGCCAGTGGA